AGCTTTACAAAGATATAATGTCATAAAAAGGAATGTAGTAGAGTCCAATGTTGAAACTGTGAACTACTCCCAGCTAGCAGTTTTTACAGTGTCCAACAGATGATATATCATTGTGTTTCTCTTCAAAATTTAAAATACTCCACTGTGCTCCTGTTATTTGCTGTGGCACCCCAGGACACAGTTTGGGAGCCATGGGCCTATGTTCTTTTCTTTGATGAGATTTGATTTTCTTTTTCTTCTTAGTCTCTGGGCTCAGCTCAAATGCCACGTCTTCCATGAAGCTTCCTGGCCAAGCTGGCCAAAAACAAAGCACATCTGAACAAAACTATTTGCCGAGTTGGAATGAAAACTCCTTCCTCTGGGATCCCACACAATTTAATGTGTAAAAGGCATGAATTGCTCTCTGACACTCAAATGTGCCATATTTCTTTATTTTTCTAAATTGAATAAAACCAGCTTTAAGTCCCTACTGTCTGGGGTCACTGAGACTTCTAATATCTGGCATTTTGGGGTGGCTCCCTCCCTGCTCTTGTATATGTCCCAGGACTATGGGGCTTTCACAGTCCCCACAAAACTGAGCTGCCTTCATCAGCTGCCCTCAGAGGCTTCCACTGCAGTCCATTCAAAGGTGGCTGGCTCTAATCTGCCACCCCAGAGCCAGGCCGAGCAGAAGGACTCTTTCCTGGCCCTCCAGGCTGAGGGGGAAGACCATGGTTCTTGGTGTCCAGACATTCACACCACCACCACCCCTGTCCAAAGCCCTGTCCACTAGGGGGCTCTACGTGAGCAGGGTAGAAGTCAGTGCCTCTCTGGGAACCTGCTGCTTGCAGGAATCCAACCTCTTCCTTTGGGAAGAGGTATTACTCACCCACAGTTCGCATGCAGGTAGCCTGAGAGCTGGATGTGGTCCACGAATGTGCTTTGTTTGGTCAGTGTGGTGTTAATAAAAAAAAAAAACCACACCTTTAATCTATTGGCACACTTAAACATTGAAAGATGTCACATCATTTCTATAATCAAGGCTCTTAGTTGCTACATAGAACCACTGATTGGAGCTGAGTAATCACTGCCCCTCTGAGCAAGGCATGTGCTCTGCAGCTGGCCACATCTGTGGTGTTACTCCCATTTGCCTGGTCCCTACAATCATTTGAGCTTGAGACCCTGGCCTAGGGTTTTGAAAACAAAGCTTTTTGTTTTCAACCTCAAACACACACAGAAAAACTGTTAACTCCCTCTTGGAGGATGAGGATGCATCAGACTTAAGCATTCCTGTCCAGCTGCTCTTTGTTTTTTTTGTTTTTTTGGTTTTTTTTTTAGCTGAGCCATCCTGCTACCTATTGGTAGCTTAGTGGCTGCTCAGCTCGGGCTGGCATCGAACCGCTGTTGCTCAGAGCTCAAACTCTGGAGCGAGCTCTTAACCAACTGAGCCACTCGGCCGGCCCTCCAGCTGCTCTTTGTACCAGGGTGGGGGGGCAGGGGTGACTGTTGTGGAGACAATTACTTTTTCATTTTCTGTCAGTGAATCTACAACAACAACAAAGATAAGACGCCAAATGAACTCCCCATAACTGTATTTACAGCCTCGTGTCATTTTAAACTATATTAATAGCCAACATTCATTGGGATCTTATTAGGTTCCCAGTATTAGATAAAGTACCCTGTAAGTATTATCTTGTTAAATTCTTTAGAAACTGCTCCTAAGAGTGTAGCAGAATCTAAAAGTCCAGTGGCCAAGAGGAGCGGGTGAAGGTGAACACGGAAAAATGCAACTGAAGCTGCTTAAAAGCAGAAGGGAGGCAGGTGCAAGCCCGAAGCTGTGGGAGAAGAGGCCAGGACTCTCCAACCGGCCCTGGGTGTGTGGAGGACCCAAACCAGTGAGTCCGCGGTATCAGTAGGTCTGGTGGCAGCAAATGCACCCAGTTGCTTCTGTCTCTTTTTGGTCTGCTCCACTGCCTATTTTGGCACCTCGGGTCCTCTTCTCTCCCCACTCTCGGTCCCTCCAGTCTGCTCCTTGTCTCTCTGGCCTGGCCCCAGCTTCTCCCAGCTCCTATCTGCATTAGTCTCCCCACCTGCGTGGCTCCTGGCGCAGCGGCCAAGCTGTCACGTGACCCGTGCGTGAATCACAGGACTCTTCCCATCCCCAGCGGCTAGCCCGCATTCCGGGCTCTGCAGAGGTTGCAGGCCGCGCATGCGCCGTAGCAGGAGCACCTGTGCGCCAGGCCGGCTGGGCAGCGGACCAGCCTAGAGCATCCTGCGGCCACAGCCCCGCCCCGCCCTCAAGCTGGACCAGACACTGGGTGGTGGACCCGCTTGGGTCCGGACTCATAAGGGACTCTGGCTGTCGTTGTTGATGCGCTCCCAGCAAACTGTTCACACAGCCAAACCTCTCCTTCGGTCAGGGCACCGGGGCTGGGCGCTGTATGTTCTCCCCGGGGCATCAGGAAGTCGGAGCGCGAGACCCGGGTCTGCGCTTAGCCGTGTGACCTTGGGGAAGTGACTTGACCTCCGTGAGCCCCAGGAAAATGGAATAATAATAGCACTGACCTCGTGGGGCTGTAGCGAGAATTCAATGAAAATTCATGAGAGTCCTTTGCGCGGCGTCTGGCGTGTATCAAACGCATATGCAAATAAAGGATACAGAGCAAGGGGTAGTACTGTGTGATGACTGAGGGAGGGTTTTACCCTATCATCCCACCGGCTCTTCAGAACCACCGTGTGAGAGAGACCCGGAAGCTTTATTTTCCCTGTTTCACAGATGGAGAAACCAAGGCTCAGAGATGTCAGCTCTCTAACCAGGTCTTGAATTCTACATCCAGAGAAATTCCAATCCGCCACCTCAGAGTCAGGAGTTCCTCAGTGAGTTCACAGTCTGTCACTCCACTGGCTCCTTCAACCATCCTATTTAAAATAACACCCGTTCTGATTTTTGCCACTCCTAGTGAACATCTCAGGTACACATCCGCAGGAAATGATTTCTTTTTTTCTTTTTTTGTCTTTCCTTCTGCAGAAAATAAGGAGCTGCTATATTTTATTCGCTATGACCTCTGAAGAGGTTGCACACAGATTCCAGGCTACCGAATAGTCATGGAGCCCTGCAGCGAGGTCTGCCCCTGGGGGCTGTCCTTTCCACCCTGCCCCTCAGACTCTCACCCTTCTAGCCACACCAGCCCTGGAAAAGCCAGGCTCCTTTATGGCACTTGGTCTTTGTATCTTCTGTATTATAAGCATAGGAGACTCTCTCCCAGTTCCCTCTTGCTACCTTTTACTCATCTCAGGAAGCCTGCCCTAACTGCATCTCTACCCACTTCACTGGGTCAGGAGCAGTGTCATTCACTCTCACAGCCCCCTATCCTTCTGCATCAGCACTAATTAGAACAGTAACTCAGTGCTGCCTGGGACTCCTTGATTCCTGTCTGTCTCTTCAACTATAATAGATTCCGAGCTCCTTGAGGGCAGTCTCTACTGACATGCACCAGCTGACTAAGGAGGGAGCATGTGGAATCACAAGTGCATCCTAAGTCCCTTCACATTTACAAACTATCTCTTCCTTCACCAAATGCACCAGAGGCTATCAATACCTTTCTTGGGTAAAAGGCTGAGACCATATAGGACGAGATGACAGATGAACACTTTCTCTCTCTGTAAAGCCATGTGAAGGTTCTGTTGAGGTAGATTGGTGTGGGGATGAGAAGATGGCTGACTATGACACGTGGCCTCTTGTCCTGGCTCAGCCACTGTTCACTGCATGACCTTGGGAAAGTCCTCCTTTAGACCTCAGCTTCTTTAGTTGTGGCTCAGTATAAAATAATGGTTCAGAATTCAGATTCTAAAATTGGATCTTTGTCATTTACTAGCAAAGCAGTTATCTTCTCTGAATCTCAGTTTCCTCATCTGTAAAGAATTATTGGGTTTCTTAATACTGTTAAGAAAAGGACCTAGCTCACAGAGCTATTCCAAAAACTTAATGAACATCCACTGATTTTACAGCTACTAGCTCTCCCATCCTTTTTTATTTTTAATGGGCTCTACTCATTTGTTTTTCTTTGAAGCCAGAGGTGAGCCCTGCCCCATATTTCAAAAGTAATCTCCCTCATCAACAAAGAAATTCTGGCAAAAACTGACCTGAGACCATTTTTATAAATGTGGACTCCAGGAAGGACATACTGAGACCAGAGTTGTCCCACAGCATATTCTTATCAGATTTGGGACTTAGAAATTCCTAGACTTTCCCAAAGTACCCAAAGTGTACACAAAGACCAGGATCTGAACCTGCCTTACACATGGCTGTAGCTCCAATGCCCAGAATAGTGGCGGAGAGAACGATAGTAGTGAGAGAACAATAAATGTTTGCTAATGAATGATACACAGCCTGAGAGCAAGTCTAGTGCTCAATTCTCTGAGCCTCAAGTTTTTTCATCTGAAAATGGAGATCGAAAAACAGTGAACAATTAATTGTGAGGATTTCATGAGATAATGCATGTAAGGGGTTTAGCATACAGCTTGACACATATGAGTTCAGTGATTGATGGACTTATGGATATAGGTACCCAGAGAGAAAGAGATGGTGTTGATACACCTCACGTTATGTTGTGGCTGGGAGTGGGCACTACAAATAAGAGATCTAGCCTTGAGTTCCTTTTATGGGCAGGGGAAAAAATGGAAGGCTTCCAGAAAGAGGGCGGGACCATAGCTGGGTTACAGAAGAATGGAGAATGTCAGTAGCCTGTGGCCAGGAAATCAGGTGCGGAGGCGACAGAGGGGGCTTTAGGACCCTGCGACTTGGGAGCGCGCGGTTGCCGGGGGCGCGCGGCGCGTGAGGTGAGGGGGAGGGCGCGGCTCTCGCTCCAGCCTAGGGCTGCCTCACGCCCAGCTGCATCTCGGAGGGCGGGGCCGAACCCCCGGGCCGCAGTGCGATTGGCGGAGGCGCGCGGGTGACGCCAACGGCTGGAGCGAGGCTCCGCCCCAGGCCGGCCCCGCCCCCGCGCGCGCGCCGGCGTGTCTGCAGCCTCGCTCTGGCTCGCGCCGCGCCCCCGCGCGGAGTCCGCGCGTCAGTCGGTCTCCTGCACGGCTCTGGGGCGGCCGGTTGCAGCCAGCAGAGCGCGCCGACTCGGGGAGGCGTCGGAGTCCGCGGGTGTCGCGTGAAGAGGCTCGGAGCCCGAAGACTCGCGCAGCGTGATGGCCCCCATTGGCCTTAAAGCCGTGGTCGGAGAGAGTAAGTGGAATCGCCGTCCTCTCCAAAGGCAGGGGCTGCGGCTGCCCGGGAGGAGCCCGGCGCCGTACCTGCCCGCAGCGCTCGGGCCTCTGCGCTGGCTGCTCGCCCCGCCCGGCTGGGAGCTCCTGGCTGAGAGGGCCCCGTTATTCCGGCGCCGCCCTCCGAGGGAAGTCCCTCCGGCCTTCTGCGGCCCGAGCCTGCATCCCTTCTTCCCCCGCTCTCCCCTTCCCGAATTCCTCACCCTTCCCCCACCCTTCCCCTCTTCCCCCACCCCATCCCTCCTCTCTTCGTCCCATCCCTTCTCCTTCACCCATCCCTCCCTTTCATCCCCATTCATCTCTTCCCTCTTAACCTCCATCCCCTTCACCCCCATCGCTCCATCCCTCCCGCTCCCCCTCATCTCTCCCGTCTTCAACCCTGTTTCTCTCCCCTTCACTCCATCCCACCTTCAACTCCATCCCTTTTTCTTTTCCCTTTTACCTCTGGCACCCATCCTTCCCCCTTCACCTCGCCTTTCCCCCCCTGCTGCCCATTGCCCTTGCCTTCTGCACCCCATCAGCCTCTCCTGCACCCTCATTCTTCTTCACTCCCATTACCTTCCCCTCATACCCCCTCTCCCCTCCCTTGCTTTCTTTATTTCCTAAGCGCCCTGATTCCACTCCTTTTTCTGTCTCCAGTCCCTCCCTCTTTTTCCCACCCTCCTTCGTGAATCGTGACGAGCGAAATCCCGGCCTGCGTCCTCCTCCTTCCTCCTCCCTCCCGGGGAGCCAGAGACGCGGTCCCCGGCTGCAGAGACCCACCTGGGAGCGGCTTCGCGCGCCCAGCCTGGGCCACTTCTGGCAGCTGGAGAGACGCCAGTTTTCCAAAGGCTTTGCTCTGCTCGGCCGAGGTCGCCTCTCTCCTCCTCCAGTTCCAGGGTCTCGGCTTCAAGGGCGGGGTCTTATCGGGGTCCTGAACCCTCTTAAATCTCACTGGAGATGAGGATAGCTGTAGCGAACGGCGGGAGGAGTGGCCCTGCCCAGCACCGCAGTCTGCAGTCTCCCTGTTTGCACGACTCAGCCTGTGCTTGGCTGAATGTTTCGGGCGGTTCAAACCACTGTTGCAGGGAGGAAATGGTTGTTTATGGGTTTGGATGAAAGGCTCAACGTAAATGGATTTTTAAAAAATGGATGGTGGTGAGTGTCGGCTGCAGCGGAGTGAGGGTTGATGTTGGTAATATTTGGAAAACGGCGCCCTCACTGCTAAATAAGATTGGTGATATGTGTAGACAAAGTGTCTCCATCCAGTATTTTGGCTACTTAACAACAACAACAAAAATTGTGTAAGGATTGCTGTGGCTTTTGCTAGCTCTTTTAGAATTGTGAGAAAATTAAAACTGGGCATTTCTCTGGAGGAGAGAATGAGAAAGGAAATAGAATAAAAATGGTGGAAATTAGTTTCCTTTGCAATCATTCTCTCATTATAGCACACACACACTCTCTCTTTTTTGCTATCAAATGTTGTTGGCTGTGCAGTGTTCCTTTTGAGCATCATTACTGTTCTTTCTTTCCCATTCTTTTCATTGATGTATAGGCAATAGCCCCACTTGTACAACCTTACTGACCTATTACATCAGAAGAAAATTGTTATAAAAAAATAAAAACTGAACCCCAAACGAGTAAGTTTTTTCAAAGTGTTCACGATAACCCCTACCTTCCCCATGCAGTAAAGGTTCTGAATCATGTACCTTCTGTTTTCTAAGGAGAGTCAAGGCTGTTAGGGACCCTGTAATGCTAATGCCTTCATTTTACCCATGGGAAAGAAATGGAGGCTCGGAGCAGTTAAATGACTTGCCAAAATCAGTGCTAATTGATTTTTAAAACTTAGTATCCATTTCCTTGCAACATTAGTAAAAAACAAACAAAAAATTTTCTTCATTGTTTCAGATATACCATATCCTACCAACCCTTTTTAAAGGGTTATGGAATGTGAATATTACATGTTACATTCTTTCAAATGTTTTGAATAAGGCGCTTTAAAACAAGATACTTAAGTGTTATAGAAATCAAACTTTTGTATCCTTTTGCCAGGACCCAGGTGGCTCCTTAGTCCTCCCCACCCCCACCCCCACCCCACCCCACCCCCATTTTTTTAGAAGCAAGCATAAAGGTAAAAAAAATCAATATATAATATGGCCAAAATTTCTTTTGCGAAATAAAGCAAAGCCACTGTTTACGAAAATAAAACCAAACCAATTTCACATAAGATTGGTGAATGTGTGAACAGTGTTATATCCCTATAAAATTGAGTTAGGCATATATTTTGGGAAAAAATACTGCAATCCTTTGTCAATGATACGGTTAATTCTAACTCCTAATTTTGGATGGGGTTTCTAGCTTTGCCATTTTCCTCTAAAAATAAAAGTGAAATGATGATGTTTTTCACCAGCATGCACCAATTTAAATGTCACCTTTACAGCCTTGTCTTCCCAATCTAAATTAACACCCCATACTCATTGTTCATCGTATTTCCACATTAATTTTCTTCATATCACTTTTAAATTAACTAAAACGATCTTGTTCAGTGTTTTTGTTTTGTTGTATTTGTTTGATTGTTTTATCCACTGGAACATTTCTTCCAGGAGAGCAGGGTCTCTATCTGACATGTTCACCACTGTAGCCTGTGCCAAGAATGGTGCCTGGCTCATAATTGGCAGTCAGTATTTATTGAATGAATGAAAAGAGAATATGATGAAGAGGACGATAAATGTAGTTTTGGCTTGTGACATCTTTTTTTTTTTATTAGGGGAACAGCATGGTCATTGGTTACATATTGCTTTCATGCTACATTGGCATAGTTGACTCTTTTAGGAGGGTGCAGCTCACAGTGGCCCATGCGGGGATCGAACCAGCAACCTTGGTGTTATCAGCATCACGCTCTAACCAACTGAGCTAACTGGTCACCCCTTGTCACATCTTTCTGAGTAGAGTTTTAGAGTGGCAGTAGGTACAGACACAACAAAAGTAGAGGAGATGGGTCAACTTTAGCTGTTCATTCAACAAATATTTGTTGAGAGCCTGCTAGGAGCTATGGGGTAACACAGGATGACTAAAATATGGGACACTCCCACACCTTGTGACAGACATAGACAATCCTGAGATGCTTTCACTGTCACTCCCCCGTCACTCCCCCGACACTTAGGGGATGCTCAGAGGATTGCACTTCTTTGTGTTGGTCTGGCCCAACTAGACCAGAAGTTCCTTCAGGTGAAAGTAGGAGCTTGTCTTATTCTTATGTCAATCCTTGATGTGTGAATTCATGCTTGATACTCGGTAAGCATTGAATGAATGACTTAGTCTTTATGTATAGCAGTTCAGAGAATGGACTCTGGAAGTAGACTACCTGGGATAAAATTCTGATCCACCACTTATTAGCTATGTGATTTTGGCAAGAAATGGAACATTTTTGTGCCTCAATTTCTTCATCTATAAAATGGGTAATAATAGCACCTACAGTGTGGGGTTCTGTATTAAGTTAAGTAATGGAGGTATAGCATTTAGCACAGTTCTTGGCGTACGGTACATTTGGTAAACATTGTCATTATGAAAAGATCCACCAAGAGGATCAGTAAAAGTGTTAGAGGATTTCGAGAAGAAATAGACTAACTCTGTCCTGGGGAGCCAGGGTTTGGGAAGAGAAAGCAGAGTCTCAGCTAAGCTTCTTGAAAGAGGTGCAGATGAACTGGAAAATAGAAGAATCAACCTGAAAAACGTCGATTATAGACAATTTGTATTCTGACCCATTTCTGTTCCCAGTCATACTCATTTCTTTACCTTTTTTCTTTTTTTTCCCCCCTCTATAAAATGTAGTTGTTTTCTGCTCTCTACAAAGAGATCGTAAGAGAAAGGACAGTTTCATTTTTTGTGGCATTTTATATCTATTTTTGTTAATAGATGATGTTTCAATTTTGTAAATCCATGTTGTATAATCCAGAGTGTATTCCTGCTCCCTGAAGTTTTGTCAGTGCGTTACAGAGATGCAAGGGTTACCAAGTGTGCTGTTTGTTTTTCTTGTTGTCTCCTAGATGTTAGCAGTTTCTTCTCATGTTTGCTTATAAGAATCACATTCTTTTGGAAAAGAATGTAGTTTCAATTTGTACGTTAAATACATACGTTTTTCAGATAGGTCCAGGATACATAGGATGTGTCAGAAGTTGAGCGGACAGACGCCTCGGTAGACGCAATCGTCATTCATTTTCTATACTTTTTTTAAAAAAAGAAACTTTGTTAGCATGTAAATAAGTATATTTTGAACTATATTAAGTATATGCATTTTTTCCATTTTTAAAAAGTAAAGTAGATTTGCATACAGTAAAATTCACCCTTTTTAGTGAAGAGTTCTTCAAATTTCAGCCGTTCATATAGTCACATAACCACCATCATAATCAAAATACGAAACAGTGCCCATCACCCCCTCAAATTCTCTTGTGCTGCCTCTTTTTATTTTATTTTATCCTATTTATTTTTTATTTTTTAGCTGATCCACCCTACCACCTGTTGGCAGCTCAGCTCGGGCCGGGAATCGAACCAGCGACCCTGTTGCTCAGAGCTCACAGTTTTGTTTTTTTTTAGAGGGCAGCATCACTGGCCCTCACATGTGGGATCCGAACCGAGGCCCTCTGGCTCCCCAAGCCAGTTCTTAACCTTCGCACCACTCGGCTGGCCCAGAGCTCACACTTTTGAGCGAGCTGTTAACCAACTGAGCCACTCGGTGGGCCCTAGTGCTGCCTCTTTCTAGTCAATGTCTTTTCCCACCCCCAGCCCCTTGCAAACACTATAGTTTTGCCTTTTCCAGAATATCATCTCAATAGACTCATGTAGTATGTAGTTTTTTGAATATGACTTCTTTAATTTAGCATAATAGCATTTGAGAGCCATCCATGTTGCCTGTATCTGTCATTTTTTCCCTTTTCATTGCTGACTGTTCTGTTGTGTGGATGTACTACGGTTTGATGATCTATT